AACGCTAAGGAGATGGAGAAGAGCGACCCCTCGGATTGGGACTGCATCGACGACACCACCGTCGTCTTCAAGAACAGCCTCCCCGAGCGATCGGTGTTTCCGACAGCTTACACCTTCGGTGAGTGTAGCAATTCGTCTTTCGGATGAGATTTATGCTAACTGGGTCGAAATCGATACATAAAAACGATAAATGACTCATCTTGTCGAGTGTTTTCTCGCGGCGAATCCTCTCGTTTTTGTCCGATTCTGTCAAGAACAGAGTCCTCCCTATATTTCTTTTCGAGTAAGGTGAGAACTGTGCTGCGATAACTTGGAAATCTTCTGCCGGACAATTTCTTGCTCTCCTTTGGCAATTTCAAGAAACCATCTTAGAATTTGCATTCAGAATCCACTTTCGATTCATTGCATTATGACCTTCCGCACCTTCCCGTCCTCATCTCTCTACTGCTCGGGGATGATCAGACAGAGCATTCGGGTGTGACTGCAACACGAGACGTGTCTACGATGAAGGAGCCAAAGAAGTTGCTCTTTCAGTTGTCAGCGGAATCAATGGTGAGCGCAAAACACTCGCTGGATCGTTCGCCTACTTCGTCTCACTCCATCGATCCATCTGCGTATGCGTATTGCAGCAAGTATATTTGCCTATGGACAGACGAGCAGCGGAAAGACATACACGATGGCCGGCATTACTGAGTACACCATGGAAGACATATACGACTACATCAAGAAGGTATCAACTCTCTAGTGCCTGAGTTCGTGGTGTCTCAGATGCAGCACGTTTAATCTTTCCCTTTCTGCAGCATGAGGAGAGAGAATTCGTCTTGAGGTTCTCGGCGATGGAGATATACAACGAAGCAGTGAGAGATCTGCTGAGCAGTGATGGTTCCCCTCTCAGGCTTCTTGATGATCCAGAGGTAGAGAAGTGCACTCATGAGTGCCCATCGATCTGTTTGAATGAAACACCAAAGCTAACCTGCTACTTGTGCTGCTTAGAGAGGGACTGTCGTGGAGAAACTCACAGAGGAAACTCCAAGGGATCAATGGCACCTCAGGGAGCTTCTTTCTACTTGTGCAGGTGTTGTGGTACAAATGTCCGCACTCCATTCACCGTTTCACGCTCGCTAATCCACCATGTTTTCTTCTACAGAACAGCGACAGGTCGAAGAGACGTCGCTGAATGAGACAAGCTCTCGATCGCATCAGATACTGAGACTGGTTTGGCTTCGATCATGATTAGACTCTTCTGATACATGTCTAGAAGAATCAAACATTTTATCCGAGTCTATTTTGGCCACAATTGCAGACAATCGAGAGCACTGCTCGGGCGTCGAAGGGTAGGGACAGTAGTTCAAGCACTCTGTTGGCTGCCGTGGTATGTTCGTTCTTGCATCGATCGAATCTTTCTTTTCTGCAGTGTACTTCGAGATGAAAATGGCACAGATCGGAGGCTGAGCTGCTTCTTTTCTGGACATAGAATTTTGTTGATTTAGCGGGAAGTGAACGAGCGTCTCAATCATCTTCCGCCGGTAATCGGCTAAAAGAAGGTTGCCATATCAACCGAAGCTTGCTCACCCTGGGAACTGTGATCCGCAAACTAAGGTCGTCGAATTGCTTTCTTCCGAGGACTCATTCCCTGTTGTGAATCCATTTCTTTGTGCATCATGTAACATCGATCATCACTTCTCCTTTCTTTGCGCAGCAAAGGAAGAACGGGCCATATACCATATCGAGATTCCAAGCTGACACGCATACTGCAACCCTTCTTAGGTGGAAATGCAAGAACTGCCATCATCTGCACGATGAGCCCTGCACGCAGCCACATCGAGCAGTCGCGAAACACCCTCCTATTTGCGAGCTGCGCAAAACAAGTAGTCATCAATGCGCAAGTCAATGTGGTGATGTCCGACAAGGCGCTGGTGAAGCATCTGCAAAGAGAACTTGCAAGATTGGAGCATGAACTGAGGTATCCAGGATCAGCTTCCTGCACACACCATTCTGATGCTTTAAGAGACAAAGATACCCAGATCAAGAAGGTTTATCGAATCTTTTGATTGCATTTGTGTAATGTTACCTCATGTGTGATTCTATCCATAACATCTATGAAAATGCCGATTGTTCTTTGCTTTAGATGGAACGGGAAATAAAGGAGCTGATGCAGCAAAGAGATCTTGCTCAGTCTCGTCTCGAGGATCTGCTCCATGCTGTAGTGGATGAGCAATCTTCAAGACAATGGGTGCATATCCTTCGATTGTCATCGATTCTCTGATGATTTTTGCCTATGTTCTCCAAATTTCGTTTCTTTTCCTTTGTGCAGGAGGACTCGAGTCAGTCATCGGCATCCCACGCACGCGGTGAATGCGAAGATGCACTTTCGATTTCTGCTGCATCTGCTATCGCATACCAAATTCCGGATTTCTACTCCTCGAGATTTGATGTATCAAAAGAAAGCAATGAACACAGCAAGCGACACATCGAGCTTCCCGATAAGATGGAGCCACCTCGGTGGTCGATCAGCAGTCCTACTCTGCACGAACAGATCCAACAACAAGGGAATGATGATACTGAAGAACACTGCAAGGAAGTTCGGTGTGTTGAGATACATGCCTTGAGCACAACCAGAAGTGAAGACTTCAATCTCTTGTTGAATGATGAAAGCGGGAGTGATCTGCTGCCACTGACCGACGAGGACAGACTTGGGGATCCAGCTCCAGGATCTGAAGGCGATGCACACCTGAGAGCTGCAGTAGAGCAATCGATAGATATCGAAACAAAGACAACCGAGAACGTTGTCAAACCATGTCCTCAAGAATTGAATTCAGTGCAAAAGGCAATGAGCTCCAGGGAGCTGATACTAACCAGAAGTAGAAGTTGCAAGGCAAGTCTGATGAACGGCTCAATCTTGTCTTGGCTTGAACATGTTGAACGAGACAACAAGACACCACCTAAGATCTTCAGAGAGAAGTCACCTGGAAGGCCCGAAGAGGATGAAAGAAGACTCCCTGCAACGGATTATGATGTTGAAAGCGAGAAACTCTCAGCAGAAGTCACTTCGAGCGACATGCCCAAAACCGAAACTGTAGGCGGAGAGGTTGATGATGATCGTCAGAAACAACTCCCTTCCGATCAGGTGGGCATATTCTCATATTAATGATATGTGCATGAAGTTACTTCTTGTCCATTTTTTGCTAGGATATTACAGACTAATCATAAGTCAAAATACCTGCAAACTAGAAGCTTGATGTCCTTTTCTTCAGTTCTTCGATGTCAACTCGATGTTCCTCGAAGACAGAAGCAGAACTACATAACCATGTTGTGTATCTGTAGATGAGATGCGAAAGAACAACAGTGCAAGAAGTTAGATTGGAATACAAATCGAATAGAAATTCTATGTTCGATGGTCAATACCTGCCAATTGCATAAGTATCGTGTCAATGTTTGCCTGCAAGTTAATACGGCTTCTTGTCGATATGATTCAGGAGGCTCAAGGGGTTCTGTCGGAAGGCCATGGAGCTGAGAAGAGCATCGAGAACGTAGGCATGGACGCAGTGCTATGTGCCTTGGAGTCTCCCTCGCGATGGCCACGGGAATTCGAGAGGAAGCAACGGGAGATAATCCAGCTCTGGCATGCTTGCGATGTTCCCTTGGTCCACAGAACTTGCTTCTTCCTCCTCTTCGATGGCGATCCAGCCGACTCCTTCTACATGGAAGTAGAATGCAGACGGCTGTCCTTCCTGCGAAACACCTTCTCTCGTGGAAATGCCGGTGACTTGGTTGCTTCGAGGTAGGATCGATCATGTTCTCACGCTACTGGATTCGACCCCCCCCTGCATTCAAGTAGGAAGACGATGAGACTGTGGAACTGCTGTTGGCAGCTCGAGATGCCTTCGTCGGGAGCGAGAGATGCTGTGCAAGCAGATGCAGAAGAAGGTGTCGCCGGAGGAGAGGGAGAGCCTTTACGCCAAGTGGGGAGTTGCTCTGAGCTCGAAGCAGAGGAGGCTGCAGCTGGCTCGACGCCTGTGGACTGCGACCGACCTCGAGCACGTAGCAGAGAGCGCATCGCTCGTGGCCAAGCTGACGGGATTCGCGGAGCGAGGGCAGGCCATGAAGGAGATGTTCGAGCTCAGCTTCACGCCGCAGCAGACCCACAAGCGATCCTTCGGTTGGATGCACGGCAAGTCCCTCCTCATGTGAGCAGATCTGCCATGGCTTGACGACGACGACGACTAATTGCAAAACCTTTTCTTTGTTTTTCTTGCGACTATTTTGGTCGATTCTGCCCGCAAAGAAGTGATGTAAGTTTTTGCGATGCATCAAAGGAGAGAAATGCTGCGTATTGTGTGATAAAAGACCGAAGGCTGAAGCAGTTTTCAGCTTGCTTGTTGTCATCTTTGGTACTTCTTCTATTTAGCCTTTCAGCACAGGAATCAAGTTTCAGATAAATCCTCTCGAGATCAAGCGATGAGTGCATGAGAATGTTGGATGCTGGTCTCATGAATATTGATTGGATCACCAACAGTGGTCTCATGAATTCCCAAAGCACACAGTATGTTGGGGCTATGGCTCAATGAATAAGACCTTCTGACAGTTTCACTCATAATAAAATCTTCAAATAATAATATTTTATGGGCTTCAACATAACTTCACCTGGAATAACATCACACTATATAAAAAAAAAAATCATATCCCAAACACAAAGATTAATCATAAAGAAGCAATCTTATATTGACACTGAAATTGACTTCATAATGCCAAAAAAAACTGATAAGGAAAATATTCATCATTAATGTGACTCTTCCATGCCTACAAATAAAAAGCAGTAAACCAAATCCTGAGAAGCTCATATATGAACAATTTCAAGATTAGGTTGTGGATGACCACCACATGCCCATAGTCCTCCCACATGTGAATTAACAAGCCCAATCAGTACCTACTATTTGCCTGCTGCATGCATTTAGATGTTCACTGAAAACTTACAAAATTATTTTGAAAAGGTAAGGTTCCTGTGACCAAGAACTGAACTTCTCATTGGTAACTCAGGTACAATGAATCCTAGAAGTTTCATGTCAAAATTCCAAGTTTCTCGGATGAACAGGAACAGGAACACTGGGGAAAAACAAATAATGCTATGAAAAAGGAATACACATACTATTTACATTACCCAGAGAAGCCTGCTTCCCTTATGATTGGAGAACAGATCCTTCTGTTATCTTCCAGCCTGATTTGGAATGAACCATCTCATACCTGGTTGAGTAGGTGGTACTATAGGAATCATTGTGCTCTGGGTGTGTATCATCGGTCAACCGAGCAGCTTCCTCAATCCTCGCCTCCACCATTGCTCGACGCCCATCCACAGACAGGGTAACACTGTCAATTGTTAAACCTAGTAGAGTGTACTCCCAAAACCAACCATGTTTTGCAATCTCTACAGCCCGATCAGTCCATATCTTCAGCATCCGGCCATCCAAAACCTATCCATCAAGAGTTTGGTGGTTATGGTCATGCTCCCTCCATAGGGTAAAAAGAATCTCAAGCACTTTCTAATTTTAAACAGATACAAGGATCTATAAGACCAAGTGTGTAAAAGACAATCAATAAAAATTCTATTATATAGATGAACTAAAACCAAAATGCCCTTTTGTACTGAGATATTTATCTCCATCAAATACTTGTTCATTGATCAATACAATTTCAAATGATGCCATATCATAAAATATTGTATTTCATTCATATCAAAGCTAAAAAGGATATGTGGTAGAGCCTAAAGATGATGTGGTACGAAGATTGGTGAACTTTATGGCCTAAATATATTCATTTAAACAATCCCAATATACAAGTTTCTTCATAAAAATTGAGATATCAAACACATTAGAAACTGTTGTTAGATATCAAACACATTTTAAAAAGAGTAATTTCACACCTCTGGCAGCTCTGCAAGAGAATGATCTGGTCCCAGAGCTCGGGATTTGACATTTTGCCACTTATGTACCAAAGTCTCTGCAAACCTTGCATCCATCTTAGGTATTTCTTCAACAAAATTCTCATCTGCAGAGATGTTTGATAACCAAAATAATAATTATTTCAACATATATTTATAATTCTCAAGATATCATCAAAGATCCATACCTTAAATATTATTTATAGATTCAGTAAAAGAAACTATTATAGACAAGAACCTATTGCTGAAAGAAATATATCACAGCCAGGACTCACCATAAAAGCTAATAAGACAAGTTATGCATGACCACAATCAAGACATAAATTGAGATATTAGCCACTTCATGAAGTAAACATGTGTACAGGATGGGACTAGGGTTATGATAGGTTTGGTCCAAGGTACCTACTCGCAACAGGATGACATTGTTCAACATAATGATAATTAGAGAACCAAAGTTCCACATATCTTGAGAAGAAGACTAAAAAATATTGATTCAAGTTCCACTTCCTCAAGAAGATTTTCCAGAACGGATACTACACAGAAGACCACTTCCAGCAAATAAAGGATAACCATCGTTCTGGATGACATTGTTCAAGTTTCATTTAAGCATTGTGGTCCCTAGGCACTTGTATGCAGGAAGATTAAGGATAACCATCAACTAAACCAGATAAAGCATTCAGCACTTCACAAAAAAATGCTTGATTTGGACTCTTAGACTCTTGTTTTGTCTTTGTCATAACACCTCGACCAAAATCGGGTGAAGTCAGATGGAATCAAAATCCAGTCAGTTTTTGGCTGAGTTAGAATTGATGATCAAGACAAGTTTGAGCTAGAACTGAGTTGGATCAAAACCAGGCTATTCTATCCAAAATGGACCAAGTTTAAAATGCAATTGGGTGACCTTAACCAACTTATACACATCCAAAGTCAAATCAACAATGAACCAATTCAGTGTTTCTACCTTGGAAATTTAAGTCCTCCTAGCCTCCCTTTCTGTTCCCTGTTAACTACTATGGTACTCCATCCTATTTTCCCCTTTTCTTACTATATATTATATTAAGTTCATCTATAATTGCATTTACACAATTATCTCTTAAGCATCATATTCCAAAGAACAAGAAAAAGAACTGTCATCAAGAACAAGTGAGATTCACTTAAAAATTATCACATCCAGATTTCATCATATGAGAAGGCAATAAAGAAGAAAATTACTCTTTGAACCCAACAAGTTTCTCCTAGTACTTGTCAGAGAAAACTACGAAAAAACATAGAAGGAGAATAGCTATATGGAAAGAGGAAGTTACAGAAGTATGAAGTAGTTTAAAGATGTTATTGTAGTAAATTACACGGCAATATCTGCAAACATAGATGAACCTAAACTTTGTCCAAACCATGTTGACAATGAAATTTCTATATCTAGCATGATTTAAAGTTTCCTTTTAAGATCTGAAATCAGCAGCAGGATGCTACATGCCATTACTTGTAAAAAAACTAACAATTCTATCTGTAACTTAGCCTTCTGCTCTATTATTAACTAAAAAATTGATAGTCTGGGTTATTACCAATATTAGTGAAATTGGCAGCTGTTGCTGAACCTGTTTCCTTCCCCGTAACAAGCAAACTGTTTCTTCCAGGTAAACACTTGATCCCTATCATAGTCAGTACTCCAACCACCATTCCAGCAGACATAATCTTCATAACAGCAATTTTTATTTCATTTGTCAAGTCCTGCTCATAAGAATCTTCAGGATCAGACTTTTTAGAAACCTCAACATGAGAACCTGACTTATCTTGATCAATTTTTATGACAGTCTCCTGCATATGTAAATCAGGGACAATATCAGTTCCATCCCTGTATGCCTCTGAACTCAGCCTTTCTTCCTTGTTTGTCAGTGGAAAAACCTTCTGCAAAGCCTGAAGTACACTTGACTTAACACTGCCTAGTGCAGCTGTAGCCTCCTCAGCCCCAATTTTCACTATGGCAGCAGCTGCAGCTAAAGGTGAACCATGATCACCTTCCATCCGTTCAAGATATTTAAGAACCATGGGATCATCATAATAATCCCCAAGTTTAAAATAAATATCACGAGTATCTCTAAACCTGGGAAAAACCACCTCACTTAGCCAAGTCTCCAGTAGTTTGCAAAGCCCAGGAAGAACATCATTATCTTTGTCGATATTAGAGTTATCCATGACAAATTCCACGATCTCTGGGTCTCTGTAGGGTGAATTATCACTCTCTATGCCCAACCACATGCGACACTCATCAACGTCTCCCAGAAGCAGTGAACAGAGCCCCCTTTCAAGCGCAAAGGGAATCTCACAGTCAGCCTTGGCAGCATACTCTGAAAATGTACCTAATGGAGTGAGGATGGTCTGCTGAAGTTGTTGAAAAAGATTGTCTGCAGTTCTGATAAGCTGGGGTCTTTTACCCACAAAGGCTTGTGCAACCAATGCAAGTGCAAACCCATATACCTCGAAGTCTTCTGCTGGCACATCGCTTGGTCTTGCAGCAAATAAATCTACCTTCACGTGAAAACAAAAAAAAAATGCAAGTATCTGTTAGCAGTAGGTATTCTTTAGTATCCAATAGGACACTTCTCTAAGGATTGTACACAGACCTGCTCAGCTGCTGTCATGCGTATATATGTCTGATTCATGAAGGATTCCCGAGTAAATCCTCCTCCAATAGCAGTAGCACCTCCCCTACCAACAGCCCATAATATATTGCGCACACCATGAAGACCCTCCTCTCTTTTAATTCGGTGATCTGAATCAAGAGGCAATGCTAGAAGCTCCAGAACACATCGAGGAGTGATCTCTTCTAATGTCTCATCAATCTGTGCCAACAGATGTGGTGCAAGATTGCTTGCTCCTTCCTCCTGTGTAAAACAATTTTCATATGGTATCATGAATGGTGATCCCAAACATTGAACAAGCAGACATTCCATCTTCCAGAGCATTATGTTCTTGAGAAATTCACATCAGTCGGCTCCTTTTCTCTTTTTTCTTCTTTTTCGGTTATTTTTGCTCATATTCCTGATATGAAAAGAACAAAAGAGGGAGGACCAAGGTACCCATTTCCTCATATGTTATATAATATAATAATCTAAACCAGAAAAACAAATAGCACTCCACCATATGCTAAATTTAGTGCTGGATATGACAAAACTGAAAAGAACAAGAGAGGCACAATGATGGACGCAAAGCAATTACAATCACGGAATGGAATGAGCTAAAGAATACATCTCCTGAGTTGATATCTTGAAGTGGATTTTCTCCTCGTATAAGTAAAGGCTATGAAAACCATACATACAGTCTTCATTTCAATATTATTTTTTAGATAACTTAGTTTGGAAAACCAAAGCCACCTTATAGTTACTCAAATCACTAAAAAGACGAGAACTCCATAAGAAATCAGTTCTTTTCCATTCAAAATGATGAACCAGGATATGTGAAATCAGAGAAAAGAATTTTTTTTTTAAATGGTATGTGCAGAAAAAACTTTCCAAATAGAAAGTCATGCAGATAGACAATAAGGTTTCATTTTGATGTTACATTTGCAAAAATCAGGACCAAATATATGAAGAATATTTTTTCTATTTGAGAAAGCTTAGAACCTTGAATGTTTCACGACAAACACTTAAAATTAGACAAGATTAAACTGTAAAATTCATGTGACTTATACCTTGTTCGATTTGGAATTTAACCTAATAAATAACATAGAACAAGATATGTTGAGAGAAAGATGCTTTTGGTTTTTCACCTGCAGGAGCTTCAGAGCCCTCTCAAGAACTTCGCAGCAGCTGACAAAGTCTGGTGGGTTCAGGGCCATCACATCCCTAGAGAGGTCGACATACGCCAGCACCATGGCAAGCACCACATCTTGCTTGAAAGCCTTCGGAAGACGCTCGAGCAGCAAACTCTTTCCCACTTGCAGTACCAATTCTGTCTCTCCGGCCTCTTGTAACACACAGAGAGCACCGGGAACCTAATCAAAACGGCACTTACTTGCTCAAAGACTGAACCAAGACAAGGCAGGAAGAATCAAGCTAAACAAAGAACTATGACCTCTCCCGACGTGAAGATATACCTTGTCCCAGGGGACGTAGGTGGTGATGGTGGAATCAGGGTCCTCTACGATGCTGCGGTTGTAGTCCTCGCGGGAGCTAGGGTCGAAGAGCGTGTCAAAAGCAGCCTGGAGGATCTGGCGGCGGCCAACGAGGGCATCTTGGCTGTAGCCATACTGTGGGGGCTTCGAAACCCTAGCTTCGAAAGCCCGTCGAATGCCGTCGCCCAAGAGGTGGGTCTCGGCTCCAAGAACCTGCAATCCATACAGATGGCCTCGATAAGCGACCACAGAGAGAGAGAAAGAGATGACATTTGGAGGAGGCGGCGGGGACCTGATAAAAGTCGATGGGGAGGGGAGGAGCGGGCGGCGGAGGGAAGGGGAGGGGAGGGAGAAGGGCGAGGAGGGGGGGTCGGGAGAGAGAGCAGAAGGGTTCTCGATGGCTGTGGCGGTGGGGAAGTGGAAGTCTCCGAGAAGGCGGTCCGCCCATTTGCTCGAGCGGCAGACGACGGTGTTCTTGGAGCGGAGGAAGGGCGCCGACTTGAAGGAGGAGGAAGAGGAGGGGCTTCTGTGAAAGAGGAGCGGCGGGAGGCGGAGGCACGCGACGCCAAAGTAGTTGAGAGTCTCCATAAGAAGGAAGGAGAAGGGGAGGCGTCACACAGAGTCTTGCGGCCTGCGGAGGAGAGATCGTCGCAGTTTGCTTAAAGCGAGAGATCTTTGTTTTATTCTTTTTCAATAATGGATTTTTGGAGTATATATATATATATATATATATATATATATATATATATATATATATATATATATATATATATATATATATATATATATAGTATATATATAATATAATAATAAATATCAATAGAGACATTCATCAAAAAATCAAATTAATCACTTCAAAATGCAGTTTGCATTCATTTATTTGAATTATGTTGGACCGGACTTGGTTTGGGAAGCCCAAGTGGGCCGGGCCGTAGAAGAAGTTTCTCGGATTCCCCGTTTCCCACTCTGTAGTATTTGAGGGTCCCGTCACATAGCAGCAGTAGATCGGAGGTCAAGAGACGCGGGGAGAGATGAGCGCGGCGGGCTACCTGGCGCGGCGGGCGGCGCAGAAGGAGCGTGTGAGGCTGCTCTACCGGCGGGCCCTCAAGGACACCCTCACCTGGGCCGTTAACCGCCACCACTTCTACCAACACGTACCGTCTCCTTCCCCTAATCCTCCTCTCTCTTTTTCGATCCGATCGGCCCTCTATTGTGTCATCTTGGGCTTAGATCGATGCCTTGTTTTCTCGTCAACTCTGTAATTTGGCGTTTTAGTGCTCAATTTGCAAAAGCATTAAGCTTGATAATTAGCTAGGAGTTGATGATTTTTGCCCGGGCATCTGCATGAACTTTGAATAATTACCGAGTCGAGTTGAATCGTTTTTTAGACTCGTGACAAAAATTCGGACTTCTGGACATTCTCATTTGGTTATCAATCTGTCTGATGTTTATGAGTTCTATCTGTGATAGGTTTATTAGGTTTTACGAACCAATGCGCTTCAAAAGTCAAAAAAATAAAACTAAAAAACCTTCTTGGCGTGTCGTGGCCAAAAAGACATCATTCTGAATACATTATATCTTGATCTACAAAATCTAGTCTTTTCTTGTATAGTTTATAAACAAATTGTAGTTGCATAGTGCTTGTTTTCCCATGAACTGAAACATTACCTTGTTAATGACACTAGATATTGTCTTTTCCTCTTTTTCTAATGATGTTCTTTTTTACAGGCATCAGATTTAAGAGACAAATTTGAAGCCAACAAACATGCGGTATTCCCTCTTTCTTTTATTGCATTAACTTAAGAATGTTCGTCTTATCTTTTTAGGCTATCTAAATTGATGGTTAAATAACATAAACATAACTGTTTCACCTAGTCCTGTATTTTATTCAGAACAACTTCAAATATTTCTTTGTTCTTGGGTTGGATTGTATTTGTGGGTATTGTGTTAATCTTTTCTTGAATGCTCATCTAATTCTATTAACCAAAACTTTAGGGTTTGGACTAGTGTGTGCCATTTTCAGTTCTGTATATTTGATAATAAAATGGATGCAATCCATATATCTTACGAAACAGTTGGTTATATTCACATATTCTGCTACATAAGTGTCAGATGCATTCCTTTATTATGCCCGTGGTGTTTTTTGGTTTTGAAATAACAGAACTTTTATATTCCTAATACTTCATCACAAACTGTGCAGCTCTCGAATCAGTGCTTCTAATATTGTTTGGGTTCAGCAAGGTGTTATGGTTATGTAATTTGATGACTCGAAATTCAACAGTGTCATGTAATTGTACACTGTATAATTGGATAACTTTTAGCAAAATTTGAATATAGTAGTCTATGTTAATCTTAGATGGGTAGGGCTGCTTACACTGAACCTCACAATATTTTGCGTGAGTTGAATGTCATGGACAGGACCATCTCTTTTTGGTCTATTTGAATCTTGGAATAAAGTACATCTAGTTCTTATATGGTTTAGATCATTTTTTATGGTTGCCCATTTCACATATTGGTAGATCATTCTAGGCAGGAATGTCTGTATTATATAGATAACCTAGAGAAGGTTTGCAAACTAAAAGCTGTATCTTGGAAATTGTATCTGACCCTTACAGTGTTATCCCATCCAAAAGTAAGTGTGGGGACTTCATGGAGAGTAAAGCCTAAGGTAACCCAAGTTGGTTTTAATTGACTAAAGATTTAGAATATTGGTTAAATGTCTGGATCGGTGAAGAAAATGACAAGGCTGGCTATGATTTGTTCTCTCTCTTTGAAAATGAAATATGACTTCTGATTTTTTTAAATTTTGCATCTTTCTAACTTGTAGTCTTGTAGTCTGTTCTTAAAGTTCCATAACTGAAATTCATTATTTTTGTGTCATAAAAAAGGCAGTTTAATGCAGTAGACTAAGGAGGGTCAGTGTGCATAATCTTTAACCTTGCAAGAAAGGAAGTTATTTTCATATTTGATGTATGACTTGAGCCTTGGTCATCCAAATTGCAAATGAGAAATATTACTTTTGCAGTTACACTTGAAAGAGTATGTTTATTTTGAATTCATTCATCTCTCTATGTATAGTAATAGAAAGAGGAATTAATTGATTAGATCAAAGGTTTAATAAAAAGTATTTACAAAATAATATTGTTAAATCATATTACAAGTTTTAATTGTTCATTAATCTTATTATAATTAGTCAATGAAAATTTTAACAAAAATATGGTTTAGAAAATGTATACGAATTGCAAATTGGATCAGACCCCAAAGCAATTAAAATTAAGTAGATAGCATTAGATAAAAAACATAACAAGTAATAGAAATCAAACAGACTAATTTTGGTAATCATTGCATTTGTCGATACTACTAAATCAAATTAAGATCATACTAGTCTTATAGAGAAGCATATACAATCAAGATTAATACTATTAAGGCCAACATGTGTTTGATTTTCTTGCAAATTCTTCACAGTGACATGGTGCATCAGGTGTGACTCGATGGTGCAGGTGGACAGCAGTGCCACAGTTCTTGAGTTCATTTCTGCAGTCAAGTGGTAGCTTTTTTTATTTCTGCTCAGTGTTGATTGTAGTAATTTCTGTACTGACACTGGGGACACAAATGGATGCAAATATCTCATTGCATCTTTTTGCTTTACAGTGTTATACATTTTGTTGTTTTCGTGTAACATGCTTCACTTTGCTTCTTGTCCAAAAGATGACATTTTTGTGCTGTTTTTTTTATTATGTACGGATCTTCTCAAGTTATATGAGACTTGCTGATAGAAATCTTTTTGATTGCTTGTTGCTATCTCCATTAATTTCATTTGTTTCTCATTTTGATACAAATCGTGCTTATTGGCTGCATAGTTATGCTTAAAGCCTAGTAATTTTTTTTTTTAATAAAAAGTAAACTGAGGTATAAATGTTGTTGATTCACAGGAGGATCTAGAAACTATTGATAGGCTTATTCAAGATGGAGAAGCAAAATATGAGAAATTGCAGCACCCTGATCCATATATTGGTAATTGTGATTGAAGAAGTTCCAACCTTAATGACTGTTTTCTGGATATTGATCTTCTTCCATATTTTATATGTGTGTGTGTGTGTGTGTGTGTGTGTGTGTGTGTGTGTGAATTTCCTATGCTGACTAGAAAGGCATTAAATAAAAGACAAAAAAGGATTTATGTGGAACTATCTTTAATAAATTGAAATAACTATCCTCAATAATATTTTGTTCTAGTTTCTATTTAAGCATAAATTGCCTTTCATTCTTGGATAACAAAAGATTTGGGCTTATTTTTTAGTCACCCCATGAATTTCAGATTTTTGCTTTGCAAATTATTATTTGGTACATGAACTATGGTGATTCTTTTCATGCTCTATTTTCTTAATTTTCAGTTCCTTGGGCTCCTGGTGGCTCCAAATTCTCCAGAAATCTTCCTCCACCAGCTGGGGTAAGAGATAGCATTGTTTCACTTGGTTGTCTCCTTCTTGTTCTATTGGACTTTGCTTAGTATTCTGGTTGAACAAATGGTTGCATATCTTGACATTTAAGTCAAAAATCAGTGAATAGATTTAATCTCACGTATCAATGCTTTGTATTGACACGATGAAGGATGTATTTGGAATAGACTTGGTAGTATCTCACCAATAGCTGAATCGTTAAGTTAATGTGAGTTTACAGGTTAAGATGTAGAGACTATAAACTAGAGCCCAAGGACAGCTATACCGCTCGAAACAGTCGATATGGGTGGTACATACCAGTCCAAGCGTGAGCCGATATGCGAACTACCCCCATTTCGGGTGATCCGATTAAAATAATAAAAATATGAAAAAAAAAAAGTGGTGGGGCCCTATCGAACTCAGCATTAAAAAAAGAAAAAAAAGAACAAATAAGGTTTTGCGAACGCTAGAAGAGGGCTCGCGTACGATGTCGCTGCCTCATCATTGTTGCTTCGTTGCTGCTACTAATTCTCGGGTATGTCGTCGTCGTTTCTTCTCCTCTTCTTTCTTCTTTTTCCTTCTTCCTCTTCCGCTGTTTCCTTTTCTTCATTCTTCATTCCTCCTATATTTCTCCTCCTTTGTTCCTCCACCGTCCCTTCCTTTTCTCTCTCTTTTTCTTCCCCGCTGAAATATTGGTACATACTAGCGTACCATGTATCGGTGCACCAGTATTGACCGGTACTTACCGATCCGACAGATCGCTGAGACAGGTCCAGCACCTGAAACAGTGAGCCTTGCTAGAGCCCGATACAGTAAAAAAAGAAAAGAACAAATTCACTGGTTGTATTCTGCATTTCTGCACTTCCATCTTTGTGTTCGAATTGGCAACCAATTTCCCATTCTGCACTCAATCTCAAAATGTCAGACGCATGTTTTGTTGCAGGAGTATACTTGTGCTTTCATATTTGAACTTATATGTGTTTCCAGCAGAATCCTATATTGGTACATCCTAGTTTTAAGAACATACATACAAATTCTTTTCATTATGCAGTATCTCATAAACATGCGTACAAATTCTTTTCATTATGCTGTATTTCGGAATCATACATACAAATTCTTTTCATTATGCTGTATTTCATAAACATACCTACAAATTCTTTTCATTATGCAGTATTTCGTTCTAAACATGAACTTGACTGTGTCCTGACCTGTTTGC